GTTTAATTAATATATTGATTATATAAAATTTAATATTATTAAATATATATTAAAATAATGTTTTTAATTAAAAATTATACATATTTAATTAATTTAAAAATTAACATATATCATATAAATAAATAAAATTTTTAATTTAATGATTAATTTTAAAAATATTAATTAAAATATAAACTTTTAAATAAGTTCTTAAAAAAGTTTTTGAAAAATTGCACCAACCAACGCTCTATTTAAATAAATATAAACTTTTCTTTTCGATGATTACCGTACAACTCCAAGTACGCATCTAATTGCAAGTGCAGGCAAAAAATAAAATAAAATAAGGGGAAAAACATCTAATTGTAAGTCAATGTAAACTATTCCTCAACTTGCTAATTGGGCAGTCAAATCATTATACCTGATATTTCCTTTCAATTCCTTATTTCGCAGGGGACCTTTTTCCAAGAAAATTAAACGCTTTACTCACCTCGTACTGAACCATTTTCCTGGAAAATGAAATGCTTTACTTTCCTCCTAACCTGCCCTTTTTTTATATTGAAAGTTAACGAGGGGGTGCGATTATGGTAATTTATTATTTTGTTAAATTTATCAAAATTTTATTAAAAGATATTAATTTTATTTAATTTGATTATTAATAATATTTAATATTGGATAAAATAACAGATTTTTATTACTTAATAAGTTAAAATTAGTTTATAAATGAATATTTTTAACTATTATAATTATTTATTTAAGAAAAATATAATTTGTTAACTTTTAATGGGTTTAACAAATCAAACAGTAGTTATAACCATACTTATAAACTATCATGTGGCAAGTGATGAGTTGTATTTTATATGTTTTAACTTTTGATTTCAGTTTTGATTTTCTTCATGTTTGGATAGGTAGAATGTTTTTTTTATTAATTTTATATAATTTTTATTTTTTTTACAAAAAAACTACTTAAGTGTATACCAATAGATGTTTTGGGACTTATTACAAATTTTCAAAAGTTTAGGGACTATATTGTAAGAAGAAATGTTGCCATCAGGGACCTAAACTCATAGAGTAGAAGATAAAGGCCCAGAAGTGCTATTTTCCCA